CGACTGTTTAAAAGCTTTTGTTAAATAGTTATGTACAGTTTCCTATCCAATTTCATAATGAAAAAAAATACTACCATTATTGCCCACCTTACCAAATCCATGACAATTCTAACGCATGCACTCCTAAGCATTTTTGTCAGCAGAAATTTTTATTTGAAACAATACAGTACAGTGCTTTTTGAACGCAATAAGCATTTATACATGCATGCATGCATACATACATACATGTGTCAATGTACATATGTGCATATGTATATACTTACCCTTTACCTTTTTTCATCCACAGCATACTCTATTAACTTTTTATTTATTCTTAAGTCGTTATATATTTTGAATTTCAGAATTGCTTCAGAAAGTTTCGGTTGTGGAATCTCTTCACAATATTTCTGCTGCATTTTCTTTGAATTATGTAGAAATGACAGTATCTTGACACACACATGTTCATGTATTTCTTAATTATCAATTTCCTTTTAATATCTTTGATATTGGAATAATTTTGTCACCATTAGTTCAATGGCCTTGTTGCACTAAATGACATCAGAGAAATGACAGGAAGAAACCCTTAACATACCTGAGACTGTGGACCGATTGCTTTCTGATTATGCGAAAAGGTTTAATGAAATCAAGACTCCTCGGAAGCTACTGTGGAAGAAAAATCTTGGTACAGTTAATGTTAGCCATTTGCAAAACTTGAAGAGATAATTTATTGTCCATTTCCAAGATTGATATTATTTATGAGGTGAAACTTGGAAAATAGAAGCTTGGGGAGATTATCTTGTATTAGAGAAAACAAAATATGAAATTTTCTATTCTCTTTCCTCCATGAATATTCTGCTTACTTGTGTCAATTCTTCTGTTTCAGTTGGAGTTGCAATTTGAAGATCGAGCAGTGCAGTTCACAGTGGCTCCAGTGCATGCTGCAATCATCATGCAATTTCAAGATCAAACATGGTATATTGGAATTGATGCTTTTCCATGATTTTTCAAGTTCTGTTCTAATAATATTTATGTCATGTGTGTTCAGCTGGACGTCTAACAACCTTGCAGACGCTATTGGGGTACCTGTGGATATACTAAGTTGAAGGATAAACTTCTGGATAAGCAAAGTATGTCTGGTCGTTCTTTTTAATCAAGAAATAATTGTTGCTTACTGTTGTTCTCTTATGTTCTTTATTTGGGGGGCTGCACAGGGAATCATTGCAGAATCAGGTGCAGGGTCAGATGACCATACATTTACCCTTGTAGATGGCATGATTGATGCTAACAAGAATGGCATTAACAGTGGGACCTGTGAGGAGCTTCTAGCAGGTGATGAGGAGGGAGACAGATCTGTGGCCTCTGTTGAGGAGCAAATACTGAAAGAGATGACTGTATATGAGGTTTATGATCTGCACCTTTCATGAAATACAGTTTTTGTGCAGCCTATTTTTTTCGGCTCAATTTTTATATCCATTCTAACTTAAATTCCATTTGTCTTAAAATTTTCTTCTTTTTTTCTTTGCCTCCCCATTTTCTTTGGACAATTGAAAAAAGAATGGCACTACAGTTCTAGAGTATCTGTTGATTCACAGAAACATTGTCATCCTGTTTTATTGAGAAAACCATTAGCTTTATCTTAGTATTAAGAGCTTAGATGATTTTAAATTTGTTTTGGTTTTTATAAATAAGAAATCAGAGAAGGCTCATCTGTTTGTTTCTTTTTATTAAACAAGTTGGTTGGTGTGTTGTTTAAAATAGGAGATATGATGGTTGTTGCCTTTTAGAAGACTGATCATTTAAAAAAATTACAATCATGACTTTCTTCATAGAAAAGACATGTAAAATCTTTCCTATTTTCTTCTTTGTCCGTAATTTTTTGGACAACCTCTCTGTGGTGTTGTCTATGGATTAATGTTATGGATAATATGGTCATATTTTATGCTGCCACCTAATAGCTCAATATCAGCCATTAAAGGAAAACTCATTGCTTCTTGAGTAAGTTTTTCTTACTGAGAAGCAAGAAATTTATGTATTGTTAGTGGTGAATTCTTAAGAAACTTATACTTTAATTAATGAAAACAAGTTTATGAAATGACCAACCAAAGAGATATGTGTTTATTAGATGGTTTCATCTAATAAATTTAGTTATTCTTGCAGAAATTTATCATGGGGATGCTTACCAATTTTGGCAGCATGGCATTGGATCGAATTCATAATACTCTCAAGGTAACTAAAGGTCTTGATCAAAGTACTGTTATCCAGTGTTTGTGAACAATAACCAGATGAATGAGTCTGATAAGGGTATTTCATCCAGATGTTCTGTGTAGCTGATCCTCCTTATGACAAGTCACTGCAGCAGCTGCAAAGCTTCTTGTCTAGTCTTGTGTCAGAGGAGAAGCTTGAATTGAGAGATGGTATGTACTTTCTGAAGAAGTAGCAAAAGATCGAGGGACTGCATTAATGTAATTCAAAGACTTAAGTAAATGATCTGGGTAAGTATCCCTTGCATTCTAAGATTAAGATTTATTTTTAGACATGCTATTTGTTCCTTTGTGGTATAATCTTACAGTAACACATTTAGAAACAAAAACATAAAATTCTGTAATGTTTAGCTGTACCTCTATTGCTTCTACAATTTTTTTTTCTGTGATTATATGAAGCTAATAATTGATTATTTGATGCTTGGATTGGTAACTTTTTATGCATGGAGAGAAAACAGTTGAGCTGCCTTGAGGGGGGAAATAGGAATTAAAGATGGAGGACTCAGGTTGGGTAGTTTGTGCTGGAAGATCATGTTACATTCACTACCAGTCTAAAAGTTGGCTGCCCTCTTCTCATTATGTGATTGTGGACCATGTTGGCCAGTCTTTAGCTTAGGACTCTGCTGAGAAGTCGTATACCAGTTAAGGATTGATTTAAGTGAGTTTTATCTTCAGCAACTCAATGGCAGATAAAGGCCATTACCCAATGGCAGATGTGGTGCATTTACTTGAGGAACCTGTGATAATTTCTATATATCATGCTTCTGGTAATTGTAATCTTGATTATGAGACTTGTTTACTGAAGGCATTGTTGTATTAATATTCATCAGCAAGGAGTACTTGGTACTTGTATATTTACATTAGGAGTTCATATATTTCAATGCTGTAATGTGCTTTAGTTGGAAGTTGGAACATGATTGCTTGAGTGAATCAAGTTTCCGGAGGGAGCATGTCAATTCAAAAGCAACTATAAAATTGTATCCAACGTTGATGTTGTTTTTGAAAGCGTGCAAAATTTTCAGGAACGCTGGTGGTGCAGGGGGGAGTCCAAGAAATTTGGTATATAAAATATTGCCGCACGCATGTTGTCCACTGTGTATCCAGTAGATGGTTGGATTGAGCTTCTTGGCTTGGGCTATGGCTATTTCTGTACGAGGATACAAGACAATTAGTAACCGAGCCTGAGAACGCTCCCTTGACCATTTGATGGGTCTCAATTGGCAGTCGGTGTGGATCAAGCCTTGTGATGTTCAACCTCTACGGCACTACCTCACCTGTTCCAACGTCAGTCCAGAATTTTTAGTGAACAATACCGTACCGCTACCTAACCTTTATTTATTAGTTTTGCTGCGTTCAAGCAAAGCACCACCGAAAGTGGGCGAGAAGTTCCATATTCCTTACATTACATTGGTAAGATAACCTGTTTATCTTTTTCTTTTTTGGAAACCCGGATGGTCAGTTACTTTATCATATGGAGCCAGAACCTCAGACCTTAGAAATAGCTAAATACATATTCTTTTATGTATTGAAATTTGGTCTTTGCTTTCATATTATGTATTTGCACTTAGGCTGTTCGTTTGCGGTGCAAATCTGAACCATATACAATTTTTGCACCTGGTTCAGTTTTGTATCCATTTGTTTGTAACTATTATTTTTGCATTGCAATCTGATGCAAAATTTGTATTTTTTTTTTTTTGGTCTCATTGCACTAACAATGCACATTTTTGCATCCTAAACGTTGTATGCAAAATTTGTACATCTCTCCTACAATTCTTTCTCATATAAAGTGGGAGTCGCATCATCTTGCTTCTTACCTCACTCCCCAAATCAATAATCCCTCCTATCTCATTTTCTTTCGTATTAGGAACACATCTTTTCTTCTCTTGAACAAGAGAAGTCAAATCTGGAGTAAAAATAACTTACAATTTGCACAACTTATTTGCACTTGCATGCATTTACACAAGTTTGGATCTATTCACAACAAAAACTGTTCCAACATGATCTGTCTCCACACACGACAGACATGGCGAGCCCCGTCTCATTGGGAGATGTATACACATCATGTTAGAAGTGTATCACTACTGTATTGGGGCAGTTCTTTTTTTTTTTTTTTGGTGAGCAGATTCCAACTCAATTTGCACCGGTGCAAATTTTATTTGGACTGGCATTCATTTGTTTTAAGCATGAACGTGTTTGATTCGCAGGAAAGCCTACATACGCTACAGCAATTGAATTTGATTTGCACATATGGGCCTAATGGTTATAGGTTAGCTGGACCTTCCTGTGACTTGGCCTAGGTTTGAAGAATTGACACCCACAAATGAATGGGTCCCAGCCAAGACATTGGTTATCTCAGGAATGATCGTTGTCGGCAGACTGTATCATCTGGAATTTATCCTTACGACTTCACTTGTTTAAAATTGTTCACTATCCCATTACACCATGACCCTGTAAGATCAGGCGGTTATGATCTAATCTTCCGAACATAACTTTTTCTTCGCGAGATCTACGTGATAAGACCCAACTGATGGTGGATCAGATGACTCAAGCATATGGGACAGGTGGCAAGTTATGGGCCATTCTATACGAGTGGACGTGGACGTGGATGTGGAGAATATGGTTCACAGTGTTGGAGCGCATGTGCGGACAGGACTGCCTCGACTCGATTCTTTTGGAGTGCGGTCAGGGCTTATCTTCGAATGGGAGATGCCACGCGAACGCCATCGGTTGCGGAGGAGAGAGAGAGTGTGTCCTATTGACGCGATAAAAACTTAAAAGCGTTGTGGACTATATCCACGTACGATCAATAGTTTCTTCATTGTCTATTGTCCATCTTTACCCTAAATCCCCTGCCATCAGAAAGAATAAAATAGATAAGAGAGAGTCAGAGTCCTATTACAATTCTTCCCAGAGAAACAAACAGAGAGAAGATAGACTATAAAAATAACGGAAAAGTACGGACAGGCACAATGCAGATTTCTGATTTCCACTGCAGAATAATTCCATGCCGTCCCTAACGTCTCTGGTGACGCTGCTATCACTGCTAGGGAGGGTCGTGTTTTGCTTGGCTGAAGCCGCGGCTGATTTCTTTACTCGGAGGTTTTGAACGGGGTTTCATCTGTTTTCTTTTTCATCTTTTCTAATTTCGGGGGTCTATAAGTCTATGTTTATTTTTATGTTCCATTCGTTCATGCAATCAATCTCATCACTGAGCCGGCCTGAAGCAAAGATTCAATAAAGACGAAGCATTTAGGCGATTAGGTTCCAGGTGAGGGATAATAATTTCATTGTTCAGTTTAACATTCCTTCCTCCTTGTGATTAGAATGCCTCGCTCATTACAATACGCTTCCATCCACTTTTATCTCTTTGAACTAAAACCCAATAAGAATCTCTTACTCTTAATTTTCTTTTCTTTTATTGCTCTTTACTTTTCCGCCCTGGAGGGGGTTAAATTGATCTGGTTTAACAGGGGCCCGAGAATGGCCGAATTTGGGAAGACGCAGTGGGGCGCGTTTTCTTGAGAAGTTTTCATTCTTTCACATAAAAGATGGAATAAATTAATTTTGCATCCCAATAAGAGAAAGGAAGAAAGCGTGATTAAGATTAATTTCATATAGTAATTGCTTCTTTCAATTTTGCATGTAGCAGAGGATGATGGGGGGAGGAGGATCAATTATCCATACAAGAGACCTTGAGAATTGAGATCCCCGCAAAAATTATCCCTAGAAATTCTTTTTTTTTTTTTTGTCCGTCCCTATTATTTTTTATTTTATTAATCACGATAATTATGAAGGTCTTAATGAAGTTCTGGTTGGTACAGTACAAATCTCAAAACTTTGACAAATTCAATCGTTTATTAACTGAAACAGCGAAACTTTTGATCAAGAAGGTACTCTCATTTATGATTTATTCATTCAAAATTTCAAAATCAAATCCTTACAGGATGAGAGAACGAATACTTGTTTCTTACGAAAAGAAAAAGTCCCCCGAGTTCCCAGTTCCTGATTTCCACATATTTTCGGTATACCACCCAGTTACGTATTCTTGCCCCTTCACGTATTTTGTTAACGTGGGATTCTTCAAAGTCTGGAAACAGAGGAGATCAATAGCGTTGACAAAAAACCCAATTTGTATTTGCTATATCCGATGAAGAAATATTTGCATCATGATCATATGACAGTTGTCCCTTGCATTTATTAAACGAGAACCCAAGCTCCAAAATTAAAAGAAAGAGTTCTATGGTCGGAGGAAGTTTTATAGGAAGATATTTAAAGAATTTAATCATTTATTATTACTAAGAATTAGGTATTGCCGTATTGTTATTCGTCATCTTAAACAGTGAATTTGGAGCCCAACATGAAAAAAATAAAAAATAAAAAAAAAGGACTAGCTATTACGTAGTTTTATTGTATACCCTGTTCAGAATTCAGATCTGTAATTCAGTTTTAATTATCATGTTTCAGGAAACAAATAAAAGCTAGCTACAACAAATGAGAAAAGCGACAAGAGGGTTTGTTAAGAAGCCCAGGCCAAAGAGATGGCCAAGAAGATGGCAGGCAAGGAGAGAACCCCATCATTTCACCACGACAAATAAGTTGAAGAAAGCACAGTATCAGTATGCCCTCCTCCATGTCCCCAGCGCTCCACTTAACACCACGTCCTACATTATCAAAGCCAAGGAAACAAACCACCACCCTGTCACCTCTTCTTCTCCCCTTCACAACGATTCCGATGGGTTACATTTATCTTCTTTCTACGGCTATGGCTCCATGAAAGGACTTCTGGGGTTGTGCCAATGGAGCGAAGAAACAGGCGAGTCAGTCTCATCGAGCTGTAAGAGAGTGGAACAGGAAGAAGAGGAAGAGGAGGGAATGATGGATGGTCTGGTGCATTGGCAGCCACAGAAGAACTCTAGCAGGATCATTATACCAAAATTACTAGCTCTAAGGATCAGGAAACAAGGAGATCAAATTGCACATCTGGAAGAAGATAGCCTGATGATGAAGGAGAGGGTGATGTGCCTGGAAAGAGAACTGGACGGACTTAAACACAGGGTCAAGATACTTGAACTTACCAATCATGCAATGAGCGTTGTCCGTGTTTGTTCTTGCGACGCCTCTTCTGCTTAAAGAGTTAAAAGAGTTAGATATATTTATCCGTTCATTAAATTACTACTTCTACCTGATATTTGATTTACATATTTTGCCAAGTGGAAAGAACGGATGACATGGCAGGTTTAGGAAATATGTGGACTCATTTTGTTGGGCAAACATATCATCTAGAAAGTCGTGTAAGAGAGAATTAATTATATGACGGATGCATATGGTCTCAGCCCAGGGCTCTAATTAAGCCAGAACGGGCTTATTAGCTATGGCTGGCAGGTTTTCTTGATCGAACCCATGGGTGTCAATTTGACTGGATTTGGTCCAATCCGATCCAGTCCAATGTGAATCCATTACAAATAGGCCAGGTCCAATCCAATTCAATGAATATTTTATACTATTTTGGACCGGTTTAATTCAATGTTTGGACTTTTCAATCTATTCAAATTTGTTTTAATTTAGATTAATTCTAACCTAAAGTTGGTTCATTCACACCTATATTCTTATCTTCTATCAATGGACCAAATATTGGCTCAATCCAACTCAATCCAATATAAATGTATTAAGGAAGGATCAGGTCCAATCTAATAAATATTTTGGGCCATTAAATTTGGACTAATCCAATTCAATGTCTTGTTGGTTCATCCAATTCGTCTAAATTGATTTTGGTTTGAATGGGATCCAATCCAAAATCAGTCCATTAACACCCCTACCCATCATATGTGATTGTGAAGTGTAAAGCATTCATTCCCCAGTCACCACCCAGGCCCAGGTGTCTCCAAACCAGTCCGGATCTGTGGACCACAAAATGCTGTGCATAATACCAGACAATGGAACATGGGAACATCTCCTATTCTCATGGGGAGATGTTCCCAAGACTCCATTTGAGAAGAGTACAAATGTAAATGCAGTCATTTACATGAACCATGCATATTTGTATTTATACTCTTCTCAAAAACTAGTTCAATGTATATACATGCATTCTGGTTCATTTTTGTAGGCATTAAATGCATTCATATTAAAAATAAAATAATCACGAATCCTAGGACATTTTTACATTCAAAATAAGAGAAAAGTTTGCATGGAAAAAATATATCCAAACTTTTGCACTCAAAATTGGTCAATGTAAAAAAGTGTTTAATCTTTGAAGTTTTGTTTGTACTCATCATAGATAAATATTTTTGTGTTTGTATTCTTCCCAAATAAAGCCTTAGGCTGTATTTGTTGCATTTGTACTGTTGTAAATGTATTTTAATTCTGGTCCACTTTTGCTTCAGATTTGACATTATCTTTGTGTTTGTCAAAAATAAATATAGGAAGTAAAATGGTGTGACCCCACCTTATGCAAAAGAGTGAAAGTAGGAGGGTTACTTTTATTTGTTTGGGAGTGAGGTAGAAGCAAAGATGATGTGGTCCTCACTTTATATCATAGAGAAAATTGACATAGGAGGAAGGTGGTGCAAATTTTGCACCAGTTTTTGAGATGCAAAATCATGGGGAAGATTGATTAGGATGTCAGAAAGACATAATACCGGAAAAAAAAAAAAAAAAAACTTACAACCAATCAACCGGCATCATAAAAATAGTAATCAATCAGGTGGGTCTTCATAAAATTCATGGGGGGTATTGATTAATCCAACCTAAGGTGTAGTCGAACCAGACACGTAGCAGATAGTCCTTCCAACTTGGATGAAGCCGAGGTGGAAAGATGAAGTGATGCACCGAACAGATCTACAGACAAAAGAAAGTCAGAGGTTTCCGAGGATGGCACGCACTCCAATACTCAAGTCAGTAAGAGGGTGAATTCGGTCAAGCCAAGCTAGTCCGATCCAAGGAAGAGATATGAGAGCTAGAGAGTGAAGGACCTGAGAGATACCCAAACATATGCCTTAAAATACCCAAGTGTTGTGCTTCACTTGGACATGCTCTTCATGGAGTTTTAGGGAAGAGGTCGCCCACCGAGGTCTTCGAAAGGCAGGGGTGTCTATCCGTAGGAGATGGCACTTGTCAAATTTTAGAAAGAGTATGACTCACATTCAAATATGGTTAAAATTTATCTACGATAACTCTATTTTGAAAGACCATACAAACCTCCTAATTTTTGGATTTCATCATCTTGCCATGAAATGAATTTTTTATCCTTGTATGTTTGTTTGATTAACCATTGATTTCCAACCAATGGCAAAGCCAAAAATTTTCTTTTGGGGATCAAGTTAAACAAGAAAACGAGATAGGAATTAAAAGAAGTAGGGTTTGGGAGGAAATGGGCTGAGAAGGTTTGGGTTTACTTTATATTTTTTAAAGAAAACAATAAATATTTTTTTAATTTTGGGAGTTGGAGAGCATTAGAGATTGATGTGTTACATTTTAGTTCAAGTTTTGAGGGGGCCAAAGACCCACTGTTATGTTTTGACCTAGCCTCCTCTTATAAATAACATTTATAACAAAAAGTTTGGGGGCCAAGGACCCCTACCCACTATTTTCAAAATCGGACCGGAAAAATTAGGAACCGGTCACCTAACTGGTTCTGCTTTCCTCCAAAAACTGTTTTTTTCTTCAAAACCGTTGATTTTGGTCAGCAAATCGCTGAACCGGCCCGTTAATCATTTGAACTGTTCGAACGGTTTTGACCGTTTTACAATTTTTTTAATTTTTTTAAGGTTTTATATTGTTTTTGTCAGAACGGGCCAGACGTTTGGGTCGAACGATTGGACCATTCGAACTGGTAACCGAACCCCTGACCGGTTCGATCACCGGTTCATTTTTAAAAACCATGCCCCCACCAATATACTTGGCTCCGCCCCTGGTTCCAACACTGTTCAACATCTATCCATCTCAGGCTCAACCTCAAACCAGTTATCAATTTATCTCTAAAGAACCGAGAGACTAATCTACCTCTTGACCCCAAATTCTTGCTTCTTTATAAGTCATCCTTCTAATTGCTAAAAAAAAAAGGTAAAATATAAAAATCTCCCTTGAAATTTCTAACAATCATAAAAACCTTTCCTGTAATTTCATTTTAACAAATACCACCCTGAACTTTTGAGAAACTCGACAAAAATCTCCCTTTTGCCACTTTCTCAAACACAAACTGTTAGACACTGATGCACTAGTTTTTTTCTAAATACCCATTATATCCTTTTATAAATTATTTTACATACAAAATTACTAAAATAACCTTATTTTAACTTGACAAAAACCTCTTTTTAATGGTCATATTCGAATGTTTTTGTTGAATTGAAGTAGTTTTATTTCAGTATTTTTGTATAAAATAATTTAAAAAAGGGTAAAATGGGTATTTGAAAAAAAATGGTGAATCGGTCTAACGTTTTCCATCTGGGGAAGTAACGGAAAGGAGGTTTTTGTCTAGTTTTTCAAAAGTTCAGAGAGGTATTTGTTAAAATGAAACTATAGGGGAGGTTTTTATGATTGTCAGAAACTTCAGGAAAGGTTTTTATATTTTACCAAAAAAAAAAAAAAAGATGTTGAACATGTTAACTTACAATATTGATAGGATGGGTTTGAAAATGAATCAGAAATTTAGTTTTGTTGTGAATAGCGACTTTCATTTACTACTATTGGGGCAAAAAAACCTAAATGCTAGTTGATACAGCCAAATCGACAACTAGTAGGAAGTCCCCTAGAGGCAGCTAACTTGATTGAGCCAGATGCTACGTATGGTCGAGTTGATCAGAATCCCAATGTTAATGCATTCATTGCAAACCCATTGCCTACGACCAATGGCGTAGCCAGTAATTTTTTCCAGTGGGGTCATTTAAAAATTTGTATCAAAAATATTTTCATATATTAAATAATTTGTCTAAAAGTAAAAAATAAAATAAAATTTTTAAAATACAAATATAAGAAAAAAAAAGCTTAATACATTAATCAAACTATTTCAATAAAAACTAATAAATGCCACTTTACAATTGTCCTCAATGATTGTATATCTTAAAACAAAAATAAATAAATATAAGTATAAAAAAATAATTCCAAAAGGAAAAATTGAAAGCATATATAATTAAGTGAACTACACAATTTTATACTTGTAATGTTTATAATTAAATTAATGTGGTGCGCTATTGGTTTTAACTTTATAACAAGTCTTGCATCAAAAAACAAGAAAGTTACATTAAAAACTCTTATGCATAAGATATATGAGAGGGCTATTCTATTGGAATTGTAGATTTCTTTTGAAGCTTCTCCTTTTGTTTTTGTTTCATCTAATGTTAAAACCCAAGGGATTTTTGTCTTTTGTGTTTTTTATCCAACAACTAAAGCTCATGCTTCTTGATCCCACACCCTTTTAATAGGCTAACCCACTCTTTAATATTTATATTAATCCCACACCCTTTTAAGTTTTCGTTTAATTTCATTGGAGAGTGTGGGGTCAATATGAAAAAATGGCTCAAAATAATACCTCTACAGATATACTTGGCATTTTTTCAACTTCAATAGGATCAATTGACAAGTGAACCGAGCTCCGATCACGTGTGAGTGACACACCTATTCTTGAATGACACTTTTTTGAAACCCTCATTCGTGTAAGGATATTACATTGAATATTATACACAAAATACACGGAAAATCTCACTTCATCTCCTATCTTGTTTCATTGAGCTCTTCAACTCATCATATCTATTATTAGCATTACTGACATAACCATTAGAGCCCACACCTCTAAAATATCACCTTGGGGTCTCTAACATTCTTTTTCTTATCATAGGTGCCATAAAAACTGAGGTTACACCCTCTCATCCAAAGATCTCCAGCAATTTTCCAATTCTATCCATGTTGCAAATTTTGGTACCATCATAATCAAAGGAAAATCCCTTTGATTGCAAATACAAATTTCTAGTCGTTATAATATAGTTACATCTTGCATACGTGTTCAAATAGGTAATAATTCCAATCACTCGTGTAATTGGGCCTTCTATTCTAAACACGTGGATAACCACACAGGAGATAATTCTAAGGTAATTTACTTTGTATAAAAACTTGGGAGTAAAATTGGCACAGTATGAAAAGAAATCATGTTGAAAGAAACTTCAAATAAAAGAGTAAAAGTTGAAATAAACAGGAAGAAGAATTCTTCACTGAATACTTAAGAAAAAATCAATATAAAACTATCATAGTTTTGTCTTAGCCACTCTTTATATAGACTTACACACCCTTATGAATCCTAAGAGGAAGTTTTCTAATGTGTGATAATAGAATTTTACTAAATCTCCTCAAATATAAAATCTTCATTAAACAAAAATTTGGAAATCACGATCTAATCGCTAGCTTAGTAACTACGAACTAAGATAGGAGTTTCGTGTTGATGCTAATTTAATAAATTCAAACTAAGATAGAAATTCCTTATTGGCTTTAGCTTGGTAATTAATTACTCGGTTGGATTAGTAACGTCGTCCCAACTTCTTATGTGTCTTGGAGTGGTCCCAACATGCACAGAACTTATTATCTTTTTTTTTCTATATTGCATCAGCCTCCCCCTATACATACTAAAATGGGTCTTCAAAAGCGAACTTTATAAATGTTTACTCAGTTGGTCCAAATCCCGTAGTACAACAGAAATAGACAAATTTAAATGTCTTAAGTAAGAAACAAATTATTAAAAAGGATTTTATAGATTTAAACAAGGGGAAATTCCTTAAACTACCCTTAAGATTTAAGAAATGGACTAACTCTAACTCTACATTTTAAGTGTTTAGAAATTGCCTTAAAGACCCCCCAAGTTTTTGACAATCATTAGCATTCATTAATGGAAAAATTGAAAAAACTATTTTACCCTTCATTCTTAAAATTTTCAAAATGGAAACATTTGAATAAACATCTAGTTGCTTTGTTTTTTACTTTTTAAAAATGGAAGGAAGAGAGACGAAGCTCTTAGCGCATAGACAACTAAGGACATGTCACAACTCCAATGTCCTGAAACTCCAGTAGGAATGGCAATAGGGTGGGAACCATATTCCTCATCCCCAACCTCAACAGCGATAAAAGTTATACTTCATCCCCAATCCTCAACAAAGATGGGTTCACCGTAGGGACTCAAATCCCCATATTTTTTTAATTAAAAGTATTTTTAGAAAATAGATTTACTTAAAATAATGAAAATTTTAAAATATAAAAAAAATAAATATGTTTCAATGTATAATATAAATAATATCATATATATATATAGGACTTCATTCCCATCCCCGATCGTCTGCACCCCTGTCAAGGTAATCTCCATCCCTGACCCATCAGGTCAAGAAGGCCAGTTACCTGATGGGGATTGGGAAAATTGCCATCCCTCAACTCCAACGACCACAACACTGATATCTGCAACCTCTTTGCATTCACCAAATTACAATAACACCTAAAGCAAGGAGAGCTTCATTTGCTTGAATAAAAGGGAGACCTGTGAAAGGGAACTTGGTGTCATAAACCTATAACATTTTTATATCAAGCCTTTTAATTGCCCTTGCTGGTTGATATAAAAACGGGAACACCATATTACAACAACCGGTGAAGGGACTTTTGAGAGAGAGAGGGGCATATTTTCCAACATTAATATTTATCTTTTCCATTTTTCCTTTATGGCTTTGAGCTTTGATTATATGCGAGCTACCAAATAATGAATTGCCAAGTCTGTTTTCAACAACAATATCAAACTCCACCTCCACTCGTGATCCAATCGAAAGGTTTGGGTTTCCCTGTCTAGTTTATAAGGCTTATGGCAATATTATTTTATCTCACTTGGTCAATAAAATCTCTTTATCAGTTATGGCGAACGGCAATGGTGGGAGCACGTCAGACACCAGTTATTGGAGTTCACATGTGTCCCACAATGCCCCACAGCACATCCCCACCTTGTATTGGGTACACCTCCCGATAATAATACGGGAAATGACAAGACATCACAGGAGATGTTCCAAATACAAGGTAGGGATGTACTGTGGGTATTGTGGGGCACAGATGTGAACTCCAGTTATCGAAGTAGAAGCATTGAAATTTTGGATTTATTAAATTTTATTTAAAAATTAAAGAATATTGAAAGACAATCAACCACAAACAGATAATATTGAATTTTAAAATAATTTTATAAACCACATGGTGTCAAATGTGATGTGTGAACGGACACTTGCAGGACTTGGTCAATTGTCAGGAAACTAGGTGGTAATTTAAGGCAAATTCTAAACGGTCCGGGTAAAGATTGAACAAGGTTGAACCTTAACTAAAATTGGATTAGTGTATCAACAAGGACCAATACATTTACAAACTGGACTACACGGTTGAACAAGGTTGAGAATTGAAAAGTCCTTATGGTTCAGTATGAATCAGACTCGCCATTATCAGATTCAGACCAGACAACTCGAAAGCTCATTGCGTCAAAGGCTTTACTAGTTAATAATTAATGCATGTCATTTTTTAAATGTGCACGTCAATTGGATAATTACCGTCACGTAAAATTTGTGTGCCATCAATTCAAGTTTGAAAAAACTTCACTTCTCTTTTTTTCCTTGACAGAAGAAATAGTCTCGTAGAACTAAAATCAATAAAACATGAATATTTTAGGGGTGTTCTTCGACGTGATTTGCATTTTTAAAACATGAACTTCTAAACATGTTCTTAAACTTCCGACTTCAAAAATACGTTTTGCCTTAAACCAAACATTTCTCATCAATTTTCGTAAATCATACATCTCTAAATTCTGTTTTTGTTTTACCATCACTTCAGAGTTTAACACCAATTGTTTTCTGAAACAAAATCTACACCCTTTAGGATGCCTAAATCACAATTTTAAAACAATGTCGATCCTAGCTACGTGGGGTCTTGGGAGTGGACTGGATGCTCCCTTATAAATATCAACCTATCATGTTCGCTGCATTTCATACCTGAATGCGAGGACAATGGAGTTCCAATTAAATAATTTTATGGGAAGAAGCAGAATCCTCAATTTTCTGTAAAATGCAAGATCCGCCCAATTCTTTACATTGGAGTTGAGCCGAAAGGAATTAAATATCGAAAAGTATAACAATCTTCACTCAGACCTAAAGAAAATTATCCATGGAAGACCTCAATGGCCCCTGGCTACTCACCTATCCAATTTCAGATGTCCGTAAGCTTCACCAGCTTATTGTAGAGAATGCGATTGTCTCTTGCTGTGTTGCTCTCAAGCAATGCACTCTGCACTAGTTCCTGTACAATGAAACAGCTCTGATCGCTATCAGGTCATCAAGGAAACAAAACATAGCAAAGAAACAAATAAAACCTTGAAAATGAAAATTTGACTAGGTGCAAGAACCCCACCTTAACATCTCTGTGTGAAAGGAATTTACCCAAGCTGTGAAGAACCAATCTCAAATCTTCAACCTGCAAAAGTAGAAAAGGAATTTAGGCCTCACCCACAATCCTATCATGAATCCCCCTCCCCAAAGGAAAGAGAATAAGAGCTACCTTGATGTAGCCAACTCGATTGCGATCAAAGAACCTAAATGCCTGTTACATATACAAAATCCCCATCAAATAAGCAATAGCAGAAAACACAACACAATCTGCATAATTGATTAGACAATTAAGCATGAAACAAACAGAAAAGGGAAAATGGCACACCTGCAATAGCTCCTTGTCAGCAACAGGATCTACTTTCTTAGGTGTCTCCACCCCTACCTCTTTCTCCTTTTCCAACGTCTCGGATTTTTCCTCTGTACCTGAAGATTTCTTATCAGTCTTCTGCTCCTGCATAGATTTCTCTGCATCATGCTTTTCATCAAGCAAGTCCTCAGGCTTAGCCTCCGCATCAGCTTGCCTGTCTTCATTTTCAACCTGCAGAAAAAAGTAAATTATAGCAAGAGGTGATGCAAGTGGTTGACAAACAAAATGAACCAAGACAAATAAAAACTGAATCTCCTCCGACATTGATGTTACAGTGGCACCAGCCACCACAAAAATGTATGCATGCCTTCAGTATTTGAAGCTTGCACAATGGCAGTTCACGACATAACAATTACCAATAGTGTTCCAGCCTCAAATATAAGATCACAACATAATAAAATCGATACCTTCTCCTCCCCCCAACTCTTAATTTTTACTGCACTTTCTTCCAAGTGAAATGTCTTTTAATCCCAGATGCTAAATTTTTCTAGTTGGGTTGTTCTTCCTTTCAATGAAGAATAAACTAATGGTTGAATTACTTAAATAACAAAGTAGGAAAAAAAGAAAACTAGGAACAACTATATCCAAGATAATTAATTTGGGAAAATGCAAAAAATAAAATGGAAACCATCATCCATCACACAAAAAGTTGCCCTAAGAATTAACACACCATACAAATTTAACAAGGAAAAAAAGAAGTCCTACTTCCTTAGGAGTATCATTTTGGGGGCTTGCATCTTCCATTTCTTGATCTTCATCCAAATCTTCTTCTGGATCCTCTTCTTCAGATTCATTATCCACATTGGACTTATCATCCACATCCGCAGAAGTATCCATTTCCTTAGCATTAGTTTCTTGGGTTTCTACATTGGTGGACTCAGGCTTTTCAGATTTACCAGATTCATTCTCCACAGGAGGTTCATCAGTCGTCTTGGAACGCTTCCTTGATGATTTCTCCTTATCAGTATCCTTCTCAGGGTTCTCATCACGCTGTCTTTTCCTTTGATTTCTTCTGTGCACAAATTTGACACGCAGTTTCTACAAGCAGAGAAAGCATATTGACCCAATGAGCACCAATGAAAAGATTGACGCAGCTAAATACATAGTCTGGTCAGCTTTGTGAAAGGAACCTGAAGAAATGTCAGAAGACGACTGCCCATTTGGTACTGAAGCATTTCATACAATGACTCTGCAAATAAGGAAAGCTGCAAAAGATGCACATTTTTAACTTCAGCAAAGTGTCATGTTTAACTTCAACTATCAAGTTAATAAGCAAAGGATGATAATATGGCAAGTACTGATTGCATGAGCAGGCATGGACCAAAGCATAGGGATGGTCAGGCAGACCAGTGATTTAAAAGGCGCACAGGCGAGGCGCATTTTAGGGTATGTGCCTAACCCAGGTCCTAAGCACACCCCTTTCAAAATGCACACACCTGGTGCACCTAGCCGTGTGCCTGATGTGCCTTGCACCTCAGCCCAGGCAAGCGCCTTTTTAAAATTCTGCACTTTTTGCTTTTTTGAGCCTAATGGCTGGGCCGGGGGCAAAGACCCTAGACTCCCGATCACGCCCCTTGAGGCAAGCCCAAACCGGAGCTCCAAAAACCCCCTATTTGCTAATGTTCTTCATTCATCATTCCAATAAAATATCTTCTTAAAAGACAATTAAAGTTATAAAATTATTATTTCTTATGTGAGAAATAAGAATTAAGACCCTAACATGGACTTGTTCGGGCTTGTCTCAAGAGGTTTGGTACAAAGGCGACTCATAGAACCAAGAATGCAATATGTTTTACATCACATTAGATATTTGAAGTAATGCAATTGAGGAAAAAAAAGAGATTGTGGGTTTTACATGCTTGTAAATGCTTTATATGTTTTCTTTTATTTTTAAATTTTCATTTGAATACGCTTTACATGTTATGTTTATGTATCTTAATTTTAGATAACAGGTTTTTTAAAACACTTATTTTAAAATTTAAGTTTATTTTTTTATTAACATTATGTTTAATATTTTTTGAATTCTTTCTTTTTTTATTTTTTTGAATTTTCTAACAATTTTTTTTTATTTTTTAGCCATTTTTTGTAATTTTGTGCCTTGCTTCAAAAAGGTGTGTGCCTCGCCTTGCGCCTGAGGCGCAAATTGGCCCTTGCGCTTTTAAAACACTAAGGAAGACCTGATAGAACTAAACCAAAACATTCCAATCATATAGGATCCAAATCTACATCATGTGTCCCGATCAATGTTTTAAAACACGGAGGCGTGACGCGAGACGTTCCACTACCTAGAGGCGTGAGGCGTAGTTCAAAACGCAAGAGGCATAAGCCTCCTTAAGAGGAAAGGGGTTAGGAGTAGGATGAAGAAGAAGGGGGGATCTCATTTTTTCTTTATTTTTAATAAAAAACATTTATATTAAGAAGAATAAAGATGCATAACATTAGTTGAAAGGGGGGGTAATTTTTAATCACTAAAAATTACCAAAAATTGGAAAAATCTGAAAAAATAATTTTGGAGGATAGGGGTTTGCTTGGAACACCTGCAAAAAAAAAATTTGTGCACCAAAATAAGCTGGTTTCATGCCGAAAAGTATTGATAAAAATGGTTTTTCACTAATATTTAATTTCTAGAAATTACAAAAAATGGGAAAATTTATTTTGTGGAAATGGGATTGCATAGAATCAAAAGGGAACACTCCCACACTACTTTTATGAAAAGATGAGCTAGTTTCATGCAAGAAAGGTGCACAAAGACGAGTTTGGGACTGTCAATCAAAGCGGTGACATGGGGGTGTGTATGGGTGATATGCTGAAAGAGCAACAATGGTCATAAGTGCATTGTGGGTGTGCACATCCCTTGCACCACGACACACCACATGAGGCACCAACTGCAATGTGGGTGTGCACACCCACATAGTGCAAAATGATGCAGCATGGGGTGTTGTGTGCAGTGTCAGCACATCCACCACGATGCACACCCACTTGCGCCCTGTGTTAATAGTGTAGTAGGGCTGTAAACTACACACTATGCAAAGGTGGAATTGGTGCACCTAACACAAGTGGTAGTGTTACAGCCCTACCTACACACAGTGGGTGTAGTAGGGCTGTAAACTACTACATGGTGTGTTACAGCTCTGTCACTACAATAGTAGAAAACACTACACGTGTAGTGTTAGCATGTTTAACACACACCAAGGTAGTTTAGTGTTTTCTAATATTGGTCACCTCACATGGAGGCACCACAGTAACCACTTGCACCATGACACACCACGGGGGTACCACAGCACACCCACACGTGGCAGTTCACGCATGCCTGCGCACAGCCACCGCCTGCACATGCACGCCCGCGGGGAACCTGTCCCGAGGCCCAGGCCTAGTGGGCCGCAGGGCAGGCTGCTGGTTAAATTGTGACTTGGCCCTTTAGTAGACATCATCATAGTTGGTTAACTCAAAGAAAAGCAAATTGGGCTGAATTGAAAAGGGGGTGGGGGTTTGGGGGGCGAAGCCCCCTAGCCAAAGGGGCAAGGGGCAAACCACTTTCTTTCCCCTTATCTTTTCTTCCCTTCCCTTTCCTTTTCTTTCCTTTTTCTTTTTCTTTCCCTTCCCTTTCTTTCCCCTTCCTTTCCTTTTCTTTTTTTCTTTTTTCTTTTTTTTCTGTCTTTTTATATCAGATGTGCAAGATGCACATGAGGTGTACGCCTCTAGCACGCCTCATGAAAAAAGCGCAAGAGGCGTACACCTCAGAGGTGTTGGCGCCTCTGGCATACGCCTCAGAGCATTTTGGGAGCGCCTCGCCTGGAGGCGCCTCCAGGCATATGCCTCCCATGCCTTTTAAAACACTGGTCGCGATTATAATTGGGTTGGGGATATTTTGGTTGTTCCAAACCAATTAAGAACTGATCCGATTATATATATACTATTAAAATATTACAAATATACCAAATACATATTTTTTCTCATGATATACTAGTAATATTATCATTATTATGGTCCAAATGTGTCAATTAAGTAGATTTTACTTTTTAATAATTTCAATTAAGTAGGTTTATTACTCATCAAAAATTTAAGTAGGTTTTTTGTCAAATTACATGTTAAATAGGTCAGGCCCAATAGTCCCTATTAATAATTGGGTTGGTACTGGATCTATAATTACAGACCATAGGGTCTGGTTCAGAACTGGTTCTGTAAATTCATTTTTTTGGTCGGGACCAGTTTTACCCTGACCTGGACCAGACCCAACACACTGACAGAACTACCAATGGGTATCCAGGTCCAAGACCTCTTCAGACCTTAAACTCAGGCCCACATCACTTGATATTAGGATAGTTCTGGGATAAGATTAAGCACTGAATATAAAAAATAAAATGGTCAATGTTAACAGACTAACTACAAGCATTGAATATTTGCAGTTAAGTTGAAAAGAAAACCTCAAAGGTTGTTTCCTCAATATCCTTGTCATTATAATCCAATAGTGAATCCAGTGAAAGCGACAATGATCGGATCTGTACACAACAATTAGGATCAGGCAACACAGTTTGAAAGTTAACATAGATACAATTTAAATAGCAATTACATTAAGGCATGCAATTTTAACCTACTTTAGAATCCTTGGTCCATTTTGTTTGTAGTAACAAGCCAGGATGCTGAGGAGGCTCATCTGACTTTCCCTTTTCTTTTACCTCTTTACTTGATTTGCCCCTAGATTCATCTTTCCCATCTTTGCCTTTCTTCTCTTTCTCATCTTTGGTTTTTTCCCTCTTGGCCTCACGGCTATCCTTATTGGAAAATTTTTCCTTGGAAGCCTCAGAGTCCACTTTAGACCTGGAGTCCTTTTTAATATCAGCATCCTTCTCTTCCTTTTTAATCTCCTTGCCAGCTTCTTGCTTCTCAGTGTCCGTTGCTTTCGACTCTGTTTTAGGGTTTTTCTTCTTCCCCAACTTGTTTGCCTCAGCAGCCTGCTTATCTGCATCAGCAGCTGATTCTTTCATGTTTTCTGCTTCATTTCCTTCAACTGTCTTATTTTCTTCTTTCTCAACATCCTTGCTCTCAGCATTTCCACTCTTTTCTTCCACATTGTTGGCCTTCTTTTTGGGTATCTTCTTAATGATTTTCTTCTTAGTAGTTGTTTTGACAGCAGATTCTGGCACAGCAGAAGAACCATTGAGATCTGTCTTATCTTTTGGATTTTCTTCTTCTTTCCCAGTTTGCATTTCGTCAGAGCTTACACCTATACCACCTTTTTTAGAAGATTTTCCCACAGGAACCTTTTTTACAATTTTCTTTCTCAAGGTTTTGACACCAGAAGTATCCGCAGGAGTTCCATCCTGCTCTACAGTGGTTTCTGGCTTAACTTGCTTTTCCTCTACATTTTTCTCATCCAATGTCTCATTTTGTTTGTCAACTGTTTCTTCCGAGTCATTTATCTTACTAATAGAAACCTTCTTTTTTGTAACTTTTTTCACAACTCTCTTCTTCGCAGGCTTCTGCTCAATTGTCTGGGCAGTGGAAGAGTCATCCTGCTCCACTTTTTCAACATGCTTTCCCGTTCCACTTGCTTCTCCATCTTTTTTCTCATTCTTCTTCTCAAGTGCATCCCCCTCTCTCTCAGCTGTTTTTCCTTTGGCACCATTTCCATCATCATTCTCCTTTTTCTTGACATCAATAGCCTGTCCAGAGGGTGTACCATGTGGCCCCTTCTTTTCATCCTTTTCATCCTTTGCTACATTGCCTTCAGCTTTTTCAGTTTTTGGGGAACCCATGTCCTTATCTGATTTTGATTGACTCCGATCCCCTGAGAATAAACTAATAAAATCATTATTCTGAATAGTAAGGTTAGAAACCCTTTGTGACAACTAAGAACCAGCACTAGATGGAAATACATCCAACTACTCACCTTTCACCACTTCTTTCTTCTCACTAGATTTCTGAAAGAAACAAATGGAACAAGATTGGTGGTTAATACATACAGAATGGAAAACAATAACCAAGGGAAAGGAATCTAAACAAAATAAAAATAGCAGACCTTTTTTAAAGAAAGTTGATGCTCTCTCTCAGCTATGGCTTTCTTGTATGCATGCCATTGGTCTCTCCATGCTTCCACCGTAGGAAGACACTGAGACATATCTGGAACAAATAGGACAGTAATCTCTTTGTGGCTGAATAATCCATCCTTTCCAACTCTATCATAGTGTATCTGTATCAAATAAAAGATTGCATTCATATTTCAAGACAATAGAATATCAAGAAAAGTCCTACACCACCGAACCTTAAAAAACTGTGTTCCAATTTCAGTGGTCATCATACCAACCATGTAACAACTAAAAAGTCGGTAATTGAGCAAGAAATCCAAATTTTTACTTCGATAAACAATTATTTATATAATCTGGCTTTTGTTTTCCCATTTGTTCTTGTTGTGGTAGCGATGTTACTGGTGTTGGTGGTCGTATGCCAGACCATCAATAGTTTGTGTGGGGTTCAGACTTCAGACAGGTGATTGTAGGCATGCACATGGGCACTCATGCATTTAGGGATTTTGAGGTGACACATGGTCAGCAATAACCATTTGGTTATGTCATATGTGAGATATCTCCTTGTGACAATTAACAGTTTTATTGTGGAAGATGGCATTGAACCTAGATACAAGATGATTAAAAATATGATGTCTAATGACATGATTCGAGAAGAATTGCTTGGCATGGATGAAGTCAGAGAAACCACCAGAAAAAGGTCTCTAGGTAAGTGGCATAGGTTTGCAAAGCACCAGATTGGGGTGGAACCACAGTGTCATAATGCCAGAACTGGGGGTGCCAGTCTTTCCCTCGGTATGAGAATATGAATTGCCGTGCAATACATGCAAAACATGTGCTTTAAAAAGCATGAACCATAAAATCTACTTTCAGGTCTAATTCCAAGAACCGGATTTTGTTTTTGTTTCATTGGGGTGGGGGATGATGCCCGCCATGGTGGTTTTTATGGTAAACATAGCCTCTTTGAGTGAATGTCATTGTTGCTAGTTCAATTAATGGAGAGAACAGCATAAACAACAATAAATGTACTTCAAGCTAAAAGATACAATAGTAAGTTTCACCTTTTGGCTTTTGAGAGCCAAAAGAGATTCAAATATATAACAAATTGATGCACATAGGCTTCACACTTGCATGCATACAGCTTTTTGAAATTCAATACAATTTAATAAAAAAGGATTTCTATCAGAGACATCAAATAGACAATTATTGCTTTGTGTTTATTTTTTGAGAGGGTTGTATTTACACCTCTAACAGACATGGACAAACACATGCACCCAGGTGGTGCAAGCACACATGCAGACTAATGTGGGCAACAAGCAGTTTGAGGTGATAATGTAGGCAATCACCAATGCCAATTCATTTAGCAGTGGCACCATCATTGAAACAACCAAGAGTTAGATGGTACAACAGGTAAATAACAGCATAATATGAATGGTGCAAGAACATAATTGGATGTGGTTTACATAGAAATCGACAATGTAAAAGAGAAAATTACCAAAAGAAATAGATTGAGATGGTCATAGAAGACCATCTACAGCACCTGCTCGAAAACGTGATCTGCTACAGGTTGAAGGGACTAGAAGAGCTGGGGGCAGACCAAGGACTTGGGTGGAAGTAATAATTTAAGCACCTATAATTTAACAATGGATATGGCACCAAACAGACTGGAATGACAACACAGGATTCTTGTAGCCAACCCCATATAGTTGGGACAAGGGTTAGATGATGATGATGAAATAGCCTAGAGACGGTACCAAAGGTTGAATAAAGTAGACGACTTGGAGCCGCCAGAAACTTGGCAGACAAATGGAAACGTGCTTTGATGCTTAGGCCAAGCATTAAAAAGAGAATTTTAAAACATTAGGCTACATCTTAGTTATGTATGTGTCTGGCAGGTCTTCTACAATCCTATATCAGTGGTTATGTAAAGCTGGTCTATTAGAGATAATCGTTAATTATAGAGATATAAGTGCAATCAAGCCATATAGTAAGCCTATGCCTTGTGAAAGTGCATATCTTTTCTTTGCGGGGTTTGTATTCCTGCCCACAAGAAAGAAAGGTTCAGCCCTAAAATTGTGCCCCATGGTCAGGCTCATAGCTTTGCCCTTTTTTTTTTTTTGATCAATAGCTTTGACAATAATTTGCCCCTTCACAAACAAGCAATTCACTGTGAGAAACTATTAAATGATTTGTTAACAAGAATGATCAAAGAATCACTAATGATGCCAAATCAAAGTTGTTATGATATATAAGCAATTATAGGCAATTGTGAAGTACCCTTATATAATTTTTCAAGATAAAAAAATAATTCTAGGTAAATTCCCTAGTTTTTTATAGCAATCAGCACGCATATAAAAAATAGCAATACTCTTTACAATCTTTTATAAGAAATACTCTTTACAATTATCATCAAGTTTCCTCTAAAAACATGGCAAATCATTATACTTAAAGAAAATAGCATTTTAAACCTATTAACTTCAACAACAAAAACAATAATTCATCCTTTAGAAAGTTATAATTTCATTTAATAAAATCTAGAGATATAAAGTAGCAAAAGGAGAAAAAAACATGGGACAGATCTATTTATTAAAAGAGATGGAAAGTAGTTGTAGAAAAAAAAGAATAAGTAATATATACTACATTATAAAAACTCCTCCCTTATATGTGATCAAAATTCATCCTTTAAATTTAAATAGCAAACCCCTTAAACAAAGCATAAGTAATATATATTACATTATAAAACCCATCCTTTATATGTGATCAAAATTCATCCTTTAAATTTAAATAGCAAACCCCTWAAACAAAGYRYAAGTAATATATAKTACATTATAAAAGCCCATCCTTATATGTGATCAAAATTCATCCTTTAAATTTAAATAGCAAACCCCTAAAACAAAGCATAAGTAATATATATTACATTATAAAAACTCAGTATCAATATGCTAATAGGATGCAACTATTATAATATCATAACAAGGCACCCATATTGTAATTTTTGTTCCCTAGGTGGGCACTCAGGCTAGGAACCCTATCAAAGGTACCTTATCACCTAGGTGACACCAACGACAACTATGGGCTGAATGCAAAGTTCTCTTACCAAGCATTCTAAGCATGATTTAGAGATTAAAAATTAGCAGATATGTTATGTGTACAAGGATAAATCATTGCTTAGAGCAATATTAGACATTAAGTTTCAATTTCAATTCATTATTCTACGTGTACACTCCATACAAAGTTCTCATCAGACCATATTAACTAACCTAAAAATTTAGGTAGGCAGGTCTTTAAGTGCAACATCAAGGGAAGTGAGACTATCTCAAGGAAACAACTCCAATTACGGAAGTAATGCACATCAACTTGAGTTAAATTCATTAAAAAAACACTCAAAGCATGATTTTAGCAGATCTGAGTACAAGGACAAATCATTGCTTAGATCAATATTAGACATTAAGTTTCAATCTCAACCCATTATTCAATGTATGTACTCCATCCAAACCTCTCATCAAACCATACTAACCAACCTCAAAAATTAGGCATACAGGTCTTGAAATGCCATATCAAAGAAAGTTGAGACTACCTCGAGGAAACGATTCCAATTATGGCACTTACACAAATCAAGTTGAGTTAAATCCTTCACATGTCTGCAAATAAATCATCTCCTCTATTTAGTTGGCAAAAATAGCAATCTCCTACTTACAAACAAATGAAGTAACATATAATAAGAGCAAACCTAAGAGCTGTTTGAATCAAGGAATCGTCACCAATTGAAGGGTCCCCACCATCAACAACATCCCATGGGCCTCCAATAGCCATAAAGGAACGATCTTTCCTGAGAATGCCAAACCTCAGGATATTATTGAAATGTGGTATGCGGTCATCAGAGCTTTTATCAGAAGACAAATCATCCAGAGCATCTTTACTGATTCCACTCATCAGGATCACCTGAGTAAATGACAAACACAGAAAGCATGCATTAATCAAGACAATCTGTACAGATAGACAATCAAGCTACATCTGTGCTACATTGCACTTCACAGTTCAAAATGAATGCAGTGTCCTGTTGGAAACTATCAATCTTTAGTGCAAATGCCATGTCTGGACCTTTGCCTGTGCTGTATCATTGCATGCCTATTTGTATAGCGACACATTTAACTCATAAAAGATCATGCACTTGTGCCTAGCTTCCATGATCAGCTCCCACTGACGTTTAGATGTTTAGATGTTTGTCTCACAGGGTACAACCATGAATGGAATAAAATCGTCACTGCAAAGAGGTAGCAATGTAAAGGAATCTGTGCAAAAACCCTAAACTCTGATAGGATCTACCTTTGCATTCCACACAGTCCTTCCACAATTTGACATCCCAGATTCTTCGGTTAACACTTTTGTTGATGCATCCTTCTGCTCAGATTTCTCCTCTATTTCAACAAGATCATGCCCAAAACTGTTCCACAACATGGCGGTGAAATGTTAAAGCTTTATATAATAACGGTTGATGAAATCTATATGAAATGTTAAAGATTTATATAATAATGGTTGATGAAATCTATATTTGATTTCCAAGCAGGGTCAACATGAAGCTTGGAATAACGCTACCAAGACCAAAAATGTTGAAACAACTGGTGACAGCAAAGAGAAGACAAAAAAGGCAAAACAAAATTTAAAGTTGTGCAAGGCCTAGTCAAACAGAAGATCCTGGGAAAAGCTACCTGACAGGAGTATGTAAAGAAAGCTTCAGGTTTCCCTTTGGCCAGTGAAGAACAACCTACAATTATTGGAAGCCAAGCTAAGTAAAACGACTGAAATTATATAATGATGCTATTCCTTTCATGTAAAAGAAATAAATATAGCATGCCTTGCAGAATTCTGGTGAAATTGAAAGCTTTGGATAGCGTTTGTTTAAGGACAAATAATCCTTTTCAGAGTCCACTAAACAGGATTGATAGACCTGAAAAATCAATTAACATGAGAAGTTAGCTCCACAAACACAACTAACATGACAGCATCCTGATCAAAAGAATGAAGTAAACCAGAAAACCAGAGAGCAAAGCAGTTATTAGCCAATGAAAGTCTACAAACATAAAGCAAATTCACAAATGACTATGGAAGTCTCAACTCTATAGAAATTTTCAATCCTTGTCACTTTTTGGAAAGGAACCCATTCACAGCTTAACCAAAGGTGGCACAATAAAATTATATTAATAGCATACATTTCAACACAACACCATCGGAAATGAATAGCAGCAAATTTGAGGGTCTCAAATCACAAGCAGAGATCGGTTGACTCCATAGGTTCAAAAGGAAGTCCCCGAAATATATCTTGATCATATCCTAGTAAAACATATAATAGCATCTGCAACTCTTAAGCTGTTTGGACAAAGACATGAGATAGATGGCTCTAATTATTTCAGTTCTAAAGATAGCCCAAGATCGAGATAAAACAAGATCCTAGCAACTTTGTTAAACCCAAAAGATCTGAGGAAAGAAGAACAGTACTAAGAAGAAAACCAACCCCAGAGCCAAATAATGACAGGAAAGAAAATAAAGTCTTAAGAAAACTCAGATGTCAATGCCAAAGGATAAGAAGAATCAAGGCAAGACTTAAAACGTCAGCTACGGACCAAGGAATGAGGAAATGAAATTAATATCTCAAGAAGAAAATCCAAGCTCCATAGCAAAAGGATATGAATAGACAAGATAGATTTGAAACACCCCCCCCATCTTGAGATCCTCACAGTCGAAAAAGTTCCCAACATCATTGAACGACTAAATTCTTATGTGGTTACCTTGCAGACATATTCTCTCCTTTTTTCTTTAACGGGTGAATGATGCCTTCAGCATAGCAGAGCACAGAGTCAGTTAAGAAGGCCGTGCCATATACAAAACAGCAATCTACTCATAACTATAGTAGGGCAAAATAAAACATCAAAGGTCCACCTATGTAAAGCCTCGTGACGGGGAGAAGAATCTCGTCGTAAAGGCCTCTCATCTCTCATCAAAGAGGAACCATGTCGGTCCCTAGTGACTCTTGGTGGAGTTCGTTCACGCCTAAGTTCAAGTCCACGCTTACGTTCACGTTCTCTCTCTTTGTCCCGGCGCTCCTGAAGGCGTTCCCTTTCACGCTCCCGTTCTCTTTCTCGCTCCCGCTCCTTCTCCCTTTCTCTTTCTTTCTCTCTCTCACGTAAATGCTCCCTACGACGCTCATCCTCCCTCATCTCAATCTCCCGACGAAGCCCAGCTCTGTCATCCTTCCGCTCATCAACCCTGGATGCTCCAATGCCAGGATGCCCACCACGCGAAAGCATGCTACCTGGATAATCAGACTCAATTGATGCACCCCGAAGTCCTTTCCCCGTGACATAGTCCCGTCCAGGAGGCAGACTCACCCCATAAGCACCACTTGAAGATCCTTGTGCATACATTAGATCATCCATATTCCTGCGAGGAGCTGCCCCTAGAATTGATGGAGCGCTTTGCCCACCATATGAAGAACCACCAAGCATTGATAAAGTGCGCGGATCAGCATCCATTCTTCCACCATAAGAGCTAAGATCTTCAGTTGCATGACGAACAGTAGCACCCCTTGCTGCAAGATAATCAATGGGTCTGCCAGAAATGTGTATGCTACTCAGTGTGGTAACCTAACAAAAACTCTGCACAGGGTTGGCACTATTGCCACTAACAAAGAATGGTACACCATCTTAACATTGAACAAGTGGGAGTATTGCGGACAATTTATGGAATACATACTAGAACCATTCATAGAAGAGATGTGAATGTTACCAGTAAGTACAATTATGGCAATTGAGAAATACCTTGCACCTCCATCTAGAGAAGCAGATTGCAACGATTGAGCTTTCAGCATTTGTTGTTGCCGTAGAAAAGATGCCTGGCAAATAATTTACCTCAAATGAGAATCTTCAAGAGATTAATATACCTAAATGAAACATGTGTGTCTTAGACCCAAAGGCATTTTACCTGATCAATGCGATCATAAATCTCAGGCTATTGTGAAGGACAAGAAGACCATCCAGGGAAACAATTAGAGAAGCAGACAGAGATTAAAGATAATTAAAAACTTGGGGGCATAAATTGAAGATTAAGAAAAGAAACAATGAATTGTGTAAATAACTACAATCTTCACACCTGATGTTGATGACCAAGACCAATAGAATCTACATATCGTCTACTTGATTCACTTTGTAACTCCTGTCCAAGATAAGCATTTTGTTCACTATATTGTCGTCTATCCAGTGATGAATAGTCAGAAACCTTTCCTGAGGAGAATTGGTCTCCCTTGAGACCATAACCATGGCTTGATGATGATACATAGTCACCAGATGCAAATTTAGGTGATTCTGCCATAGCTGAGGAATAACCCCGACTTTGAAGGGCTGAAGAACCCCCTACCTTGCCGCTCATTGCAGAAAGCTGAAAAAGAATGCAAACTACCTAGTAAGATCAATGGTACATTAAAACAGTTTATATTTTCATATGCCAACATTATAGATGACCCTGTAGATAGCAAAATATGCAAGTCAAGAATATATTGCATTAATAACATGAATAGTACAAGTAAATCTGCCAAAAGTTATTGATCAAAAGGTGGCAGAAAGCTTTGACATGCTAACTTCTGTGATGCTTAAAACCCAGAAGACTCCCCTAAAATTATGCAGCAAAGCATATATTGCATTAATAACACCAAAACTTTGGCATGATAACTTAATAACACCTCGGCAATTGAGGGAGACCTCGGCTCGGCACCTCAACTGCTTGAGAGACCTGCAAGGTAGCCAAGCTCGAACTTCTGAGTTTTTGACACAAGCCGAGCTCAAGTTTCTAATTCGAATCAAGCTCGAGCCTGATAGTTTATGAGTGAACCCCTGCAACGCAGGGCCCCCTCCACTAGTAACTATATTAATTAAAAGAAATTGGTTTGAACACATTACTGTCAGTGTAGTGTAAATTATTAGGAAACATATTCACTAAGACTCTCTTTGGTTCAGGGAATTGGAATTGAATTTTGGAATTCCATTAACATAATTCTAATTCAATATATTTCCAAGAGCTAAATATTAATAATTTGGGAAATTGTCTAAAACTCACCATGAGTTTTCAGCATTTCTCTTAAACTCACCACGGCTTTTCAAAACGTCTAAAACTCACCATGTTAGTAAGTTTTTATTTTCCAAAACTCAACTTCTGTTAGCGCACCGTTAATGTTTCTTAACAGAGGTGTCCACGTCAGCATAAATAACAATTTTTATAACCAAATCACCCTAAAATGGCAAGTTAGAGGAAAAGGGTCTTTTTCATTTTTCAATTTTCTATTTTTTTACATTTTAAGTGTTTTGTTATAATTTCTAATGTTTTTTATAATTTCTGCTCTTTTACATTTTTCTATTTTCTACCATCTATAAATTTCCTGTATTTTTTGTTATTTATTTGCAATTTCTGTTTTTTCTATAATTTTTGGTGTTTTTTCTACAATTTTTATTTTCTGATTTTGTTTTTCAATTTGAAATAATTTTTATTTGTGTGCAATTTCTATAACTTTTTACGTTTTTTGTAATTTCTGTGTTTTTATGTATTTTATATTTGAAAATATTTTTTGAACTTTTTCCTTTTTTTCATGTCTAAATATTAAAACATATGTATATATTTTATATATGTATATATTTTATATTTTTCTATGAAGATCAAAATGGTAATACATTAACAGCCATTAGTCTCTTTAACGTCAAGTTAGTGACATGGTGAGTTTTAGACATTTTGAAAAGTTGTGGTGAGTTTAAGAGATGCTGAAAACTCATGGTGAGTTTTTGACAATTTCCCTAACATTTTTGTTGAAATCAGAATCAACTTAACATGTGATAATACACCTTATCAAGCTTCACCTTGTTCCTCAAAAAAATGCCTTTTAACTGGTTAACCTTGCAAGATAAATACTTTTGTACTCAAAATAGATTCATGTATGATATCAACTCAAATGAACAGAAACTGAAACTTCAGATTGATACTCCTATTACATGAAATCAGGGTAGGTGGTAAAAGGAAGCAAAGAGAAACCATCCCCAGGGTAGCAGAGATCGGGAATGCATGTTGATAGCTGCAGAGTTATTCTCATGTCTCCATGTGCTGTAATTGGAAACGGCAATAAAGAAGAGTAGAACAATTAACCAAATCTGCTGACAAAATGAGCAATCAGAACATGAAGGTTTTAATTCTCTGTACATGGCCGGCCTTGAAACTAAATCATCCTGGCAGACTGAACCTACACTTGGTTCTGAAATGGAGAGACTAGAGAGGAACAAGGATTTTGCAGATGAAGTAATCTACAATCAAAGGGAAGGTCTGGGAATTAGGTATAGAGCAAGAGAGAGGTTTTTCAATTCCAAAGAATTGCAGCAGTTTTTTCTTTTCTCTTTTTTTTTTTT